GCTTGGGGCTGGGCACTGAATGGCTATTTGCTCAAGGTGTTTCCGGACAAAAATCCATTTTGACATTAAACCACGTGGGAGACACTTAAGTGCCATGGATGGGAAACTTTAGTGGCCTGGGGGTTCCCAGAGAAAGTGCATTGGTGGATCACCTCAGCTGTGAGCTGAGGAGAGGAGATTGTGAAGGCTGCTCAATTTCCAGCCTTGCCAAAGGAAGCTGTATTTGCTTGGAGTAATAGAGCTAATTCAACTAGCTTCCACCTCCCCCCCCCCCCCCCCCCCATAAATGGACTTGTTCTATGGAAGAGGATAGACATGCAAGCTTTGGGCAGAGGCTGGGAATTTGTGGGCGTTTGGGGCACATTGTGAGCTGTCCACTGGCCCCAGACATGGCTGGGTGATCCAGAGCGAGCACTTAACTAGCAGGCGATTCCAAGGGGGCATGAGAGCGTTGCCAGGGGGAGAGGGAGGGAAAACCCAGTGGGTTAACTGCGTGATGTCTGGCCTGTAACAAGACCAATTCCCAAGGCGAAGGCTGGTGCTGAGGGGGAGGGAATGGATCCCACTGGACAAGCAAGAACGGCTGCTGTTCTTGGCTCTTTCCAAGTAGGCGCAGCAACGGTCACAGCTGCCTCCGGTCACCTGAGCATTAGCGGAGCAAAGACTTGAGAGCAGCTGGCCATGAGCGCCTACAGGGCACAAACTGGCATCATCACACCCGAGAATATTGCAACCAAGTGCCAGAGATTTATACCTGGAAATCCATTTCCGAATGGAGGTTGCATTTGCCCAGTTGGAGCACAGGCCTTTAGAACCGAAATGCCCTTTTTCTGCCCACTGAGGGCTCTAGGAAAAGGCAGGAGTGGCTCCTACAGATCCAGAATCTGGATGGTCCCTTTAGGACGCCTGGCTTCATGGGTGATGTTGTCCTAGGCAGGGGGGATGCCAGGCTCTGCTGGTGAGGGGTTCACGCCTGTTTTCAAGAGCCACTTGGCTAACCACGTTGTTGGTTATTTAAGGGAGAAGCCTCAAGCTGTCTAGAGAGCAACAGAGGGAGAGTTTTCTGCTTCAGGTCCAGCGGCACAAGGTGAACACCTCGAATGGTCATCTGAACTCAGGTGAAGTGGACTGTTTATCTCATCTCCTTTTTTTAACATGCCACAGTTTCTGCAATTATAATAATTACGACCTTTAGTGAAAAAAAGGCTTCACCTGCAATTGTTTTGCACACCTTGAGGACTAGTAGATTCTTTAATATGAAGCTTTATTTGTACCAAGCCAAACTTCAAAAGCTTTCTTATTAACTGTTGTCAGTCCTGTGATTTACAAGGCAATAACCATCTGGAGAGGGCACATTTATCATAAGGGTGCAGCACACCAGGAGCCATTGTCTGCAGCAGCAAAGCCAAGTGATAAAATGAATTCTTTTCTTCTCTAACCTTCCTAAGAAGTGTGCTGGGGGGGGGGGGGGCTTTTGTAGCTGTGTTCCTGCAGCTCCCCTCTGCCTGGGAAGATGGATGTCTGATTGAAGGTCTGGAGCAGCAGATGCCCTGAGTGAAAGAAGCACACGTCTTACTTTCTTTTAGTTATCAGGGTTATTTATTCCCCCACTCTTAATTTTTATTTTATTTGCACGACATCTTTGAGACTGGGTAGGAGAAACTCCTATCTTTCCTTCTCAGGAAAACTCAGATAATGCCGATTTAAGGTACATTTATACCAAAGGATCGTTCTTCCAGTTTGTAGTGCAATTCAGTTATTCTGGCATTCAATTCATTCGTTGGATAGGCGATGCCTATCATTTGTAGCACACTTTTGCTTTGCCCCTTGGAGAATCGCACGCGAGGCACTTTCAATTAATTGATAGTTAAATTTGTGGAATTGTTAGTTAATTGTCTCATGGAACCAGTTTTCAAAATCTATGTGTACATTTTCTTTAAAACAATAAAATTGCTTACCTAATTATTAAAATAGAAAAAAATGTCAAAAATTATTCATCACAGTCTTCATATTTCTCATTAGAATACATCGCAATGAATGCCTGATTTTCCATGTGTTTTTAAACTATCCAGCTGAAAGAAAACAGTTTGAAAGGTGTATGCGTTGGCATGGCTTTCTCAAAGAAAGCAGCTAAAATGCTTTCTACAAATCAAAGGGGCAAAAAGCAGATTGAATGGCATTCCCCAAATTCAACTGTACAGCCTTCATCTCCTAAATATCAAAACTGTGAGAAGGTGCCATGAACAAACAAACAACATTTTGCTTCTAGTGAGGGGGTAACCCAGAAGACCAAGGAGCCAATTCTTGCCTTCCAACGCTCTCTGTGCATGGGATGCTCTCGCCAGGGCCCCCAAGGGTGAAACCAGCCCCGGGCTCCCCAGCAATCGACATATCACCCATCGCCTTCAGTGGCCAAAGCCAGGCTGACTACGTGGGCCGAGGGCTTCTGCACAGAGTAGCCCGTGGAGAGAAGGACCATCTGCTTCCAATGAAGGGGACCCCTGGAGGACCACAGTGTGTCAGTGATGATTTGGTCCTGCTGGTTGTGAGTAAGCCAACACTTCTGGGGAGCACCTGGTTGGGGAATGCTGGAATCCAGGTGGAAGCAGTTACCATGGTAAACCTGGCCTGTCTCCTAGCCAGCCGAGTCCAATCTGGAGTGTGTAGGCCCTGCCAATTGGTCCAGGGTAACATCCAAGGCAAGGAGAATCTTCACCTCTTTGCTCTGATTTTACGAGGGTCCTTAAAAATGGAGCCAGGCGGAGTTTGGCCCCTCCGATATGGCTGCAAAGAGAATTGCTGTTTCTTATGCTTACCATCTTGTCTGATCTTTTGTCTCTGATATTTTAAGTTAAATATTATAATTTCTTTGTACTCCAAGGCATATTTTAGATGCAGGTTTCTAAAGACCTAAAAATGGCGACTTTCTGCAGCAGTTTGCGGGTCACTTTTGTTTTTAAAAAGTGTGTTTTTAAGTTGGTTCATCTGTTAACCAAACCCCTGTACAAATACACAGAGTGGCAGTTGTGTTTCCTGTTAATCGTGTATGCGAAACTGCACTAAAGGAACCAACAGAACACTAAACAAGAATAAAAAAATATGTTTTCTTCCATCCTGTTTATCTCGCTTTCTTTTACAAGAATGAAAAATTATGAAGAGAGCAGAAAATACCGTCAGGCCACTTGTGCTAACAGCTGCTGACGTTCACGGCAAACAGGCAAAGCAAGAAAAAGCATTTCTGATTATTTATTGCAGGCGGCAACTGAAAATTTGATTCTTTAGCTTGGAGGTATTGAGGTTTTTTTTACCAAAAAGGAAGAAAGGGTGATGAAGTGCCTGACTCAGAATGAAAGAAAATATGGAGCTTGAAATAGTTGCCTCCCAATCTGGGAAGGGCAATTTATTAGACAGCTGCACTGAGCCATGAATTCAGAGAAGAGAAGAAGGGGGTTACTCTGACTTTCTGCCACCTTTTCAAAAGTACTTTGCTGCCTCTACTACGTCTAAGAAGAGAAAGACGCAAAGTGTTTCTTCTCAGGGAAGTCACGCGTTGGGGTGC